TCGTAGAGGTAGGCGGCCTCCGCCGCGAGGCGCGCGTCGTCGTCGTCGTCCGGCGGCGGCGGCGGCGGCGCGGCCGCCGGCGCGGCGTCGAGCGCGAGCGCGCGGCGGCGGAGGGCGGCCCGGAGCCGCGCGGCCTCGTCGCTCCGGTCCGGCGGCCAGGCGCCGTCGTCGAGGCAGGCGAGGACGAAGGCGCCGCAGCCCACGCGCGGCGCGCGCCGCGGCGGCCCGGGCGACGCGGGGTCCGCCGCGGAGAGGACGCTCGTCGTCGAGTCGGAGCGCAGGTGCGGCGCGTGCGCCGCCTGGGCCTCGGCGACGGGCGTCGCCGTCGAGAGGAGCGAGCAGCGGCGGAGGCGCTCCGTGGCGACCGCGACGAGCTCGCGCGCGACGTCCGTGTACGTCGCCAACAGCAAACTCAGGTCCGGCTTCTTGATGAGCTGCATCTCCGTCGTCGCGCCGCCGCACAAAATGGCCTTCCAGTGGGCGCCCAGGAGGCAGCCCTCGTCGCCGAAGTAGGACCCCGCGCGGAGCCGCGCGAGCTGGCGCGCGCCGGGCACCGACGACACGCGGACCGCGACCTCGCCGGAGACCACAAAGTGGACGGCGTCGGCGACCTCGTCGCGCTGGAGCACGACCTCGCCGACGGCGCTGAGGAGCGGGACGAGCTTGATGACGGCGTCGGCGACGAAGAGCCGCGGCTTCGCCGCGAAGAGCGGGATCTTCGCGATGAGCTTGCGCTCGAGGTGCAGTGCCAAAATGCGGTGGAGGGGCTTCGAGAGGGACGAGATGAGCTTGCTCGCGTCGCTCTCCTCGTCGCGCCAGCCGTGGCCGACCTCGAACTGGTGGCGGAGGTGCTGGTGCATGGCCGCCGCGAGCGGCGCGGAGATCTTGTGCTTGTGGATGAACGTGTTGAGCGTCTTGGACCGCGCGGACCGGTCCGAGGCCTTGGAGTCCATGCCGTGGAAGATCTTGCCCACCGTCGTGATGAGCACGGCGTACCAGGTGACGCCCATGACCATGACGAAGCACGTGTAGACCATCTCGTCGGCCGTGTTCGGCACGACGTCGCCGAAGCCCACGGTCGTGATGGTCGTCAGCGCCCAGTAGAGGGACACCATGTAGAGGAAGAAGTTGCCGTCGCCCCGGCTCAGGCCCTCCATCTGGATCCACGTGCACTGCTTGTGCCGCGCGTACGCGTGGCAGTCGTCGAACGTGTAGTGCTCGTTCTCGTAGGTCGTGCCCAGGGAGTACCAAAAACACGCAAAAAGGTGGGCGCCGACGAGGGCGACGATGACGATCTGGCACATGCGCACCATGCCCGGGTTGAGCTGCGCGCGGACCATCGCGCGCTGGATGATGCCGTCCATGCCGTAGACGCGGACGATGCGCATGAAGCGGAAGACGCGCACGTAGCGGAACATGCGGGGCAGCTTCGAGGCCTTGGCGAGGCGGCCGAGGTCCTTGTGCTTGTCCTTGGTCTGGCCCGCGAGCGCGATGTCCATCGGGAACGTCGCGACGACGTCGAGGAGGAAGAACGTGCGCAGGTAGTGCCGCGCGATCTTCGACGGGTCCGTCACCGTGCGGCCCTTGTGCTCGTAGGCCGTGACGAAGCTCAGGCAGATGTCCACCGTGAAGAAGACCGTGAGGAACCAGTCGAAGACGTAGTAGACGTACGTCGGCCCGACGAACGACACGTTGTAGGGGATGTAGAAGATCATCATGAGCATGACGAGCGCCGACGCCGTGTCCCAGGCGACGCGCGTCGGGTCGTCGGGCTGGAAGACGAACCAGGGCACGACGAGCTGCTTCTGCGTGTCCGCGGCGACGCCCCACGACTTCAGGTGGCTCCGGAGCGACCCGCGGTTCACGGGGTTGCTGTGGATCTCCCGCGACTGGCGCACGATGTCGTTGAGCGCGCCGACGGCGAGCACCGTGTTCTTGAGGAGGCGCCAGCGGCGCAACGCCGTCCGCGGCGCGGCCGCGGCGAGCGCCGGGCTCGCGGCGACGCGCGCGCGGAGCCGCTGCTTCGTCTCCGCGTCGGGCTTCTCGAAGACCTTGACCTCGTTGCGCGCCTCGCCCCAGGGGTGCGTCACGGGGCACCAGAGCGCGTCGACGTCCTCCCAGCTCCGCCGCTTGTTGTGGCCGAGCTGCTCGTGGTGCCCGCCGCGGCGCCGCGTGTGGCGGTCCGACTTGACGCGGTCCCGCTCCTCGGGGGCCGCGCGGCCGTCGTCGTCGTCGTCGTCGTCCTCGTAGTCCTCGTCGTAGGCGTCGTCGTCGTCGTAGTCGTCGCACGTGTCGTACTCGGTGGCCGCCGCGGACTGCGTCCGCCGACTCCGGCGCCGCAGGCTCCCGAAGGGGCCGGCGGGCGCGTCCTGCATGGACTCGAGCTGCTCCTCGAAGAGCAGCTCCGCCTCGCGCAGCGGCTTCTCGACGGTCGCCGGGATGACCTCGCCCGTCGAGTCCGTGCGCTCGCGCCGCATGAGCGTCGGGTCGAGGCCGTCGGCGCTCAGGCGCCGCATGAGCGTCGTCTCCTCGGGATGGCCCTGCTGCGACTCCCGCGACGACGATCTCCGCGTCCGCGTGGGGGCGAACTCGACCATGGTCCGCGACGGAGCAGCCCCTCGGATCCGCTAGAAGTCTGGGGCGCCCATCGAAACTCTCGCGGGCTTCATGTTGAGGGGAAACATGAAGGGCCTTGAACTACTCGAGCATGGCTCCGTCTCGACGCTTTGTTGCGTGCTTCGCGACGCTGTCGCTGGCGGCGGGCTGGGTCGTCCGGGGCCCGGCGACGCGCTCCACCGCTCTGCACGCCAAGACCGCGGTCAAGAAGAAGAAGAAGGCCGTCGGCGGCGGCTTCGGCGCGGCGCCGAAGAAGAAGAAGGCCGTCGACCCCGCGGTCAAGCTCTTCAGGCAGGCGCTGAGCGCGTCCAAGGACCTCGTGCGCGACGCGCCGACCGACGCCCAGGCCTGGCTGCGCCTCGGCGCCGTGCTCAACAAGTACGGCGAGTACGCGGAGGCCGAGCGCGTCTTCGCCGCGGGCGTCGCGCGGTGCCCGGACCGCGACACCGAGGGCCCGGGCCTCGACGCGGCGCTGCTGACGCTGCGCGGCCACAGCCACGACTACCACTACGGCCCCTGCGCCGAGCGGTCCCGCGACGTCGGCTTCGAGGCCGTGCGCGTCGGCGGCGCCGACGCGGACCTCCTCGAGGGCCACCGGACCGTCGAGTGGCGCGACGGCGAGGCGACGGCCTACTACTCGACGGCGCCCTTCATTCCCAGGGACGAATGCGCCGCGGCCATCGAGATCTGCGAGCGCCGCGCGGCGGAGCTCGGCGGCTGGCTCACCGCGCGGCACGCCGAGGCGGCGACGACGGACATGAACGTCAAGGACGTGCCCGAGCTGCTCGCGTGGTTCAACGAGCGCCTGCGGGACACGCTCTTCCCCATGCTCGCGGACCGCTTTCCCGAGAAGATCCCGTCGGCCGACGCGATTCGCGTGCACGACGCCTTCGTCGTGAAATACGACGAAAACGCGCAGCGGTCGCTGCCGACGCACGTCGACGAGAGCGCGTTCTCCTTCACGATCGCGCTCAACGACCGGAGCGACTACGAGGGGGGCGGGACGCGCTTCGAGCAGGCGCTCGCGGAGGACGGGACCTGGGCGCCGCGCGTGCTCAACGCGGACGCGGGCGGCGTCGTCGCGTTCCCGGGGAAGGTGCGCCACGGCGGCTCCGCGATCACCGCGGGCACGCGCTACATCATCCCCCTCTTCTGCAACATCGACGAGAACGCGTCGAAGGAGCCGCCGGGCTACGTCCTCGCGGACCTGCTCCCGGGCCTGCCGGACGTGGAATAATTTATTAGGGTGCCTCCTACTTCTTCATCTTCGCGAGCTTCTTCGCGAGGGCCTTGAGCGCCGCGGCGTCCTTCTTCGCGTCGGGCGCGTTTCCGACGCCGTCGGCCGCGGCCTTGAGGAGCGTGGCCTGGAGGCCCGCGACGACGGCGGGCTTGAGGTCGCCCGGGTGGAGCGCGCCGGACGCGAAGTCCGCGGTCATCGCGGCCAAATCCGCGGCGCCGTAGGCCTTGTCGCCGCCGTTCTCCGGCGACCGGTTGATTTCCAGCGCGGGGAGCAGCTTCGCGGCGACGAGGAACTTGGCGAGGTCGAGGGGCGGGTTGAAGGCGACGTTCTCCGGCTCGCAGAAGGCCTTCTTGAGCTTGCGCTTCGCGCAGTCGGCGCCGTCGCCGACCCAGAAGTCGACGTTGTCGTCGTCCGCCGCGTCGGCGGCCTGGAGCCGCAGGGACGTGGCGTCGAGCGGGGCGAGGGCCGGCGCGGCGAAGACGTCGCCGCCCTTCTGCGCCGTCTTCTTCCAGTACTCGACCGCGAGCGGCGACGGCGACTCGGGGTCGGCCGCGGCGTCGAGGACGACGGACGCGCACGCCGCGCCGACGTCCGCGCAGCGCATGAGGGCCGCGATGACGCAGCCGACGCGCGCGCCCATGTCGTCGCCGGACTGGCCGACGTGGGCCTGCACCTCGTCGAGCTTGAAGAGGCGGCCCGCGTTGATGACCTCGATCCAGTACTCGGACGGCCGCGCGAGGATCGCCGCGGACTGGACCGCGAGGCCCAGGCGCTGGGAGACGCCCGGCGAGAAGAGGTCCGCGAGGCCGCAGACGGCGCCGAAGAAGCGCCGGTGGAAGGCCGCGACGCCCTTGGCGTCGCCCGCGAGCGCGTCCAGAGCGACGGCGGACCAGTCCGCGGCGTAGACGACGCCGACGAGCGCCTTGTCGGCGTCGAGGGCCGCCGCCAGGCTCCGGGCGGCGCGGAGGGCCGCGGACAGGGGGCAGGCGAGCTTGGGCACGGGCGCGAAGACCGCGGCGATTTTCGCGCCGCCTTTCACGGCGGCCGCGATCGGCGCCGCGCCGAGCGCCGCCGCGAGGGCCGCGCGCCGCGGCGTCGCCGGCGCCTGCTTGGGCGCGTCGGCGGCACACGCGCTCGGGTCCGCCTTGTAGGAGCGCACGCGGCGCAGGAGCTCCGCGGCGCGCGCGTCGTTCGCGAAGTGGTCGCGGACGGGTTGGAGCATCGCGTCGACGGCGGCGACGAGCGACTCCTTGAGCGCGTGCTCGCTGATCGCGCCGTCGAGGAAGGCGTCGCAGACGGCCTGGGCCGTGTCGTAGGTCGCGCCGCCGACGGCCATTTTGGCGCCGGGCCGGCAGAAGACGATGTGGCGCACGTAGTCGAGGCACGGGTTCTTGAGCTCGTCCTTCGTGAGCTGCATCTCGCCGTCGTGTTTGAGGGAGTCGTCCACGGTCCGGGGGCAGTAGGCGTTGGTGAGCTTGCGCCGGACGTCCTCGGACGAGTCCTCCATGAAGATCGCGGAGTCGGCGTCGGATTTCGACATCTTCGCCTGGCCCGCCTTCAAGCCGTAGAGCATGTGGTGGCTCAGGATGATGGGCTTGAACTTCAGGTTCGCGGCGTCGCAGTAGTCGCGCGCGAGCATGTTGACCTTGCGCTGGTCGACGCCGAGCTGGCAGATGTCCGCGCGGAGGAAGAAGACGTCCGTGCACTGCATCAGCGGGTAGAGGATCTGCGCGGCCGTCAGCGTGCCCTCCGCGCGGCCCATGATCGTGCAGCACTTCTTCACGCGCGCCACCGTGAAGCGCCGGGCCATGTCGAGCATCTGGGGCCAGTACTTGTCCGCGGACGACGTGATGTCGTCGGACGCCCAGCGGAACTCGACGCGGTCCATGACCATGCCCGCGGCGCGCCAGACCTCGACCAAATACTCGCCGACGTCCTTGATCTTCGCCAGGTCGCCGCCCATCTTGTCGTTCATGAGCGCGAACCAGTCCGCGACCCAGAAGACGAACGTGCCGCCGGCCGCCGTGCACTTGTTGACGTTCATCGCCTTGTAGACGCCCTGCGCGATGTGCATGCGGCCCGACGGCTCGAAGCCGTCGTAGAGCCGGAAGGCGCCCGCCTTCTTCTCCAATAATTTCTCGAGCTCGGCCTCCGTCTGGCACTCCTCGCCGACGCTCTTGACGAGGGCGACGCGGCCGGCGAGGGTCGACGCGTCCGGGCCCGTCGCGGCGCCCGTCGTAGGAGTCGTCGCGAGCGCGGCGCTCATGGCGTCCTTCGCATCCGCGCCGGGCACGAGCACGGACGGGTCGCGGCCGCTCCAGCCGGCGGGCCACGCTGCCATGCTGGCCTCGTCGCTGCGGCAGCTCAAGCTCTTGCCGGCGAGCTGGCTCTCCAGAGCCTCTGAGCTCGCCGGGGCGACTCGCGGCAGATCGGCAGCGGCGCGCGCGCCGGCGCGTCTAGCGATGTTTGCCAAAACTGTCGCTGTCCGTTAAGAGTGAAGGGGTGGGCCGGCTGTTCGCGCTCGGCGTGGCGGCGCGGGACTGCCGGGCTCGACAGATCAGAGTGAGACTGCGTTGCGTTGCGGGTATCCTACGCGCTCGCGGTGCGCGCCGCACGCGGCGACGTAGGACGCCGTGTCGTTGTAGTCCGCGCCGTCGGACGCGGCCTCGAAGCTCGGCTCGAACTTGATCGCGGACGCGCCCGGGCGGCCAAAGACGCCGTACTGCTCCGACCGCGAGAAGTCCGGCGCCGTCACCAGCAGAAGTCCGCACGACCTACGCGCCCTCGCAGGAGGGAGCTCAGCTGAGCTAGCGACCAACGACATTCTACGTTCTGACAAAACGGCTAAACACCAGGACAGGCACATTGACATCGCGTCGAACATCTTGTATTTTACAGGGCGTATTCTTTCCGCAGGAGACGTTGCCAAACTTACATCAATCGAGATCCGTGTTCGCGGCGCAGGAACAGGGCGACGAGACGCTGCGCGCCACGGGCGCCGCAGCCCGGCCCAGCGCTACCGCAAACAGACCATCATATAGGCCCGAAGCATGGCGCGCGCGCCAGTGCACCGATCAAAACTCAGATTCTGATAGCCTGGATTTAAAAGTCAACATTTTTGTTGAACTTCAGCACTTTTGTTGAAGTTAAATCTTGCGATTTCGCGACCCGAACCAGCGACCGCGCGCAAAAAGCCATCGCAAACGTGCAATTAACGCGCGAATATCATCAAACTTGCTTTGATACGACCATAACCCAATTTTGGCCGTGATTTCAGCCCGCGGACCGCCGCGACACCGCGCCCGCGCGCGCGGTCGACGTACAGCCTCTATGGACGACTAATGACTCTGGCTCCGCCGGCCGGAATTCGATGATTGATCTTTATTTATTAATTTCGTACGGGTGCACCTAGATGTACGTTGATCGGGGCACTGGCGCGCGCGGCGCGCGCGTTGCTCGAGCGTTCAAGATGCCGAGATGTTGACAATCGATAAAGAGGCGCGCAGGAGAAACACTCGTCGAGCGCGACGCGAGTAATGAGCTTCCAGGATTTAAGCCGCAGGGGCTCGTCCAACGGTGGCGTGACGAGCGGCGGCCCGTCCAACGCGCCGCGCCGGTCGAACGGCGCCCCGCCCCCGCGCGGCCTCGACGGCGCCGTGGACGCGATCGCGGAGAACCTGCGCCAGTTTAGCCACAACGTGTCGCTCCTGGAGCGGCTCGCGGACCACCTCGCCGGCGCGCCGCGGGCGTCGGAGGAGCTCCTGCGCCAGATCGCCGCGCAGCAGGACGTCGTCGAGGAGCTCGCGCGCGTGCTGCGGAAGGCGTTCGGCGACCTCGTGCGCCGCGTCGACGCCGCGCCGCGCGCGGAGCAGGGCCGGGCCCGCGCGGCGCACGCGAAGCTGCGCAAGGACTTCGACCGCGTCCAGGGCACGGTGGGGCGCGCCGTCGACAAAATCAAGTCGAGCCGCCGCGCGGCGCTCGGCGCGGGCGGCGCGGCGGCCGCCGCCGCGCCCCGCGCCGGCGGCGGCGGCGCCGCGGTGGACCACCGGGACCTGCGCGTCGCCGTCAACGACCGGCCGAGCTCGTCGAGCGGCGGGCCGCACCGCGTGGGCCGCGCGCAGTTCGGGCCCAGCGACGCGCCGGGCGACTTGGACGTCATGATCGGCGAGGAGCGCGTGCAGCTCCAGGTCGCCATGCAGGAGGAGGCCATCAACGACGCCATCCTGCGCGAGCGCGAGGAGGAGATCCGCGAGATCAACCAGAACGTGCACAAGGTCAACGAGATCTTCCGCGACCTCGCGACGCTCGTCGACAAGCAGCAGGGCGAGGTCGACCAGATCGGCGAGCTCGTCGAGAAGAGCCACGCCCACGCCGAGAAGGGCCTCGACCAGGTCCAGAAGGCCGCGAAGCTCCAGCCGTCCTGCGTCGTCTCCTAGCGGGCCGCGCGCGACGCCCCGGCCCATTTTCCGCGCGGCCGCGCCGCGTACACACACCGACGCTCCATCGTAGTGTGCCCGGGCGTCGAGCGTCGCTCCAGTTTGTGAATGCCGAGCATGCCGAACGTCACATGAAACTTCCATTAAATATCCGTAAGCGGGGGCGCGCCGCCGCCGCCCCGGAACGCGCCCTTCACGGCGTTCTTGACGCGCGAGCCGAGCTTGGGCTTGAAGACGACGGCCTTGTCGAGGAATGCCCTCAGCTCCGTCTTGCTCGACGTCGCCAGCGTCCGTTCGACGCGGCCGTCGTTGAGCAGGCAGAACGCGGGCGCCTTCGCGACGCCCAGGTACTCGGCGATGGACCGGTCGCGGCCGACGACGGCCTTGTAGAAGGCGCCGGCGTCGCTCGACGCCGCGTAGCGCGAAAAGGCCGGCTCGACCGCGCGGCACGCGCGGCACGTCGGCGCCGAGACGAAGAGCACGCCCGTCAGCGCCTCGAGGTCGCCCACGGCGCTGAGCTTCGTGACGTTCGTGGCCGACGCGGCTTCGCCGGGCGGCGCGCGGCCGAGCAGCATGCGCGCGGCGGACATGGCGTCCTCCTCGGGCTCGTCGGCGGACATGGCGTCCTCCTCGGGCTCGTCGGCGGCGCGGAGCACGCGTTGCCTAGTGCTCGCGTGCGTCGAGCTTTTCCATGGCGGTTGCAAAGCGGTTGTGAGCCGTAGCGCGCACAGCAGCAGCGCTGCGCGCGCCACCATCGCGCGTCGGCCTTCCTGGAGCAGAGCGCCGGAGCACAGGAGCAGCGGCAGCAGCAACAGCAGCACGCTCCCACCCTGCGATCTCACGAGGCCCTCCGCTTCTTCCATAAGCAAAACTAACCCTTGACGGAATAAACTTCACTGAGCTCGATGAACTTTGGGATATGAATGGCTGTGAGCGCACAGCCAATATTGAAGAAGATGCAAACTTTAAAACGAATGGCTCGCATCGTTTATGATATATACGTTGGGATTTCCTATATGTCAAGACCTCGTTGCAGTAACCTTGCAGTTCAACAAGACTTCGCTAGCGGCGACAGCGTCCAAAGCAAGCCGGACGGCCGCAACGACAACAAGAAAGAACGCGCAGAAACTTACCTCGCCACGGCCCCCGCGGCCCGCCACGCGCGGAGCGTGCCCGCGGCGTCGAAGCCGAGCGATCCGAACTCGTCGAAGGTCCGCGAGACGCCGTCGAACCACGCGCGTCTTTCCGGTTCCGCCGCGGGCGGGTCGCGGCCGAGGTAGGCGCCGAGGCGCTCGTAGTCGCGCCGGTAGAGCCGGCGGACGCGGTCCCGGAGGCCCGCGTCGAGGTGCGACGCGTTGAGGGCCGTCGGGTCCTCGAGGCGCGCGTCGCGCGTCGCGGCGCAGGGCGCCTCGAGCTGCGCGAGCTCGGCGGCGTAGTGGTCGTAGTCCAGCACGTGGCGGCAGGCGCGCTGGGGCCCGTCGTCCGCGAAGAAGACGTACTGCTCCTGGGGGATGAACGCGCAGTCCTCGAGCGGGTTCGCGGCGACGTCCCCCGCTTCGAGCAGGTCGAGCATGGCCCGGGACCAGTCCCGGAGCGCGGCGCGCGTCTCGCCGCCGGCGTCGCCGCGCCTCTGCTTCCGCGCGAACGTCGCGAGCCAGCGGTCGAGCGGGTCGCGGACGAAGCAGAACGTGTCGCGCGCGCCCCGGAAGGGCTCGGGCAGGTGGCGCGGCGGCGTGTGGTGGACCATCTTGCAGCCGATGGGGCTGCCGCCGCGCGGGTCGTTCTGGAACGGCCGGAAGTTCCGCATCCAGCCGCCGACGAGGCCGCTCCGGACGACGCCGTCGCCGCCGGTCTCCGGGATGAAGACGAGGCCCAGCGTCGGCTTCCCCGCGCAGGCGCCGGCCCACCAGTCGGGCCGCGTCGCGTTCCAGCCGCCGGGGTCGCACGCGGCGCACGGCTCGCGCGCCCAGAACGCCGCGCACGCCGCGAACGCGTCGCCGCGGGCGCCGGCGCCGCAGCGCGCGGGCGGCGGCTGCGCCGCCTCGGCGCCGCAGGGGGCGGCGAGGCGGCGGTGCGTGCGAAAGGTCTCGCGGACGCAGCGCGGCGGCTCGCATACGAAGGACGAGCCCCAGGCCGGCGGGCTCGGCCGCGTCTGGCGGTAGGCGCCCTTGCTCTGTCGTGCGTCGTCGCAGCCGTCGTCGCCGCGGGCCCGCGCCAGGACGAGCGCGAGCGCGGCGATCATGGTTCGCGCCGCGATCATGGCTGCGGCTGCCCTATGTTGTGTGCGCCCATCCTTCTTATTAGCGATGCACCGTGACGTTCAAGTTGTGGGGATTTCAAGTCAAAACAAACGAAGTTACGAACGAAAAACGAAGGATCCTAGGAGTTGAGGCCGTCCCATCCGGTGCTCGACGATGGGTCGCGGTACGACCGCGGGTAGATGGCGAGGATCGCGTCCAGGTCGTCCTGGCTCAGCGACCGCGCGATGTCCCTCGTGGACGCAAAGTAGTCCGCCGCGCAGAGGAGGCAGGTCGCCTTGTACTCGTCCATGGCGATGCAGTTCACGTTGAACGCGTCGGCGTCGAGGCGCGTCTCCAGCTCGGGGCAGTCGTCGAGCCGTTCGATGTACTCCGTGACCATGAGGCTCTCCTGCATCGCGGGGCGCGTCGCGGCCGTCGCGCAGGCGAACTCGTCGGGCACGGCCACGTCCGCCGCCGCGACGCCCGTCCTCGTCGCCTCGTCGACGACGACGCAGCCGGCGACGCACTGGTCGTCCTCGTCCGGGCACTGGTCGTGGCCGGACGCGCCGACGTCGTCGGGCAGGTACGGGTTCGTGGAGCACGCCGCCTGCCGGCCGTCGAGCTGGAGCCGCACGGACTTGGCGAGGAAGTCGAGCGTGTAGGCCGAGTTGTCGGCGAGGAGCGTGCCCGTGTTGAGGCAGTTCCAGAACGTGCCGAAGTCGCCGCACGAGCCCGCGGCGACCCGGTCGGCCCCCGCCGTCCCGGGGCAGAAGCCGTCGCCCCAGGTCGTGTCCGTGACGAGCGTGAACATGATGTGCTTCTGCGGCGAGGCGTGGGCGCCGTTCCAGGCCCAGGTCAGCTCCTGGTCCCAGTTCGTGATGAGCGAGTCCGCGTCCGAGACGAAGACCTGGGCGCAGCCGCCCTCGTTGAGCGCGTGGGCCATGGTGCAGAACTTGAGGAGCGTCACCGTGAAGGTGTCGAGCGCGTCGCCGAACTGCGAGCCGAACTCGCTCGTGCGGCAAAAGTCCATGAACGCGTCCGCGTCGTCGAAGTCGTACGGCGCGTAGCGGTAGCCCCACTTGGCCGCGTAGCCCGCCTTCGTCAGGCCCGCGAACTGGGCCATGGCCACGTACTCGGCGCCGGCCGCGACGGACACGAGGCAGACGTCCGCTGGGGCGGTCGTCGTCTGCTCCTCGAGCGCCGACGACCAGGGGGCTGCCCGGGGCAGGCCGTAGGCGCGGAGGCCCACGGCGCCGCAGTAGAGGACGCCGAGGGCCGCCGCCAGGCGCCGGCCCAGCGACGCGTGCGACGTCGCGGGCTTCGGCGGCACGAGGGCGCCCGTGAGGCCACCATCGTCCGCCATGTCCATGGCTGCACCACGGGTGTGGAGATTCGGAGAAATACCTTCATCTTCGACACGGTGCCGCCGCACCCAGAATGATGCGCACGCGACGCGCGCGTAGGGCGCGCGAGGCGAGGCTCCTACGTCGCACGAAAGCTCTCGGGATAAAATTACGGGCCGCCATCAGGCGCTCGTGAAGGTCGTCGCCACGCCGAGCACGCCCGTGAAGCCGCCGAAGACGACGAGCCCGACGTAGGGCCACTTGCTCGGCGGCTTCTCCGCGACGCTCGACTCGAGCAGCCCCTCGACGAGGTCTTCGTCGTCGTTGATCGACGCCCTGGAATCCAACGCCAGCACCTTCAGCGCGATCAGCCCGGGGAGCACGAAGCCGAGCAGCGAGCCGGCGACGTTGCCCGTCAGCGACATGACCACGCCCAGCTTCTTCGTCAGCAGCGAGATCACGACCGTCGTGAGCCAGAGCGACACGGAGTAGGCCGCGTGCCGCTTCGACGACACGTCCGCGACGTCGCGCTCGAGGACGTCCGGGTCGCGCCCCGCGTAGGCCTCGCGGCTCCGGAGCAGCGCGTGGCCCGCCTGGCGGCAGACGAAGACGCAGGTCGGGTAGGTGCACATCATCGTCGCGGCGTAGAAGACGCGCATGACCACGGCCGCGTAGTCGCGGACGTCGTAGTTGTTGAGGATGTTCGCCTCCGTGCCGTCGCGGAACGCGACGAAGCCCGCCGCGGCGATGACGACGGTGTAGAGCGCCGACGCGCCCAGGGCCAGGGCCGACACGCGTCTGAAGCGGTCGACCGTGTTGTCCCGCAGCGTGTTGTAGAACAGGAACACGGAGTCCTGGCAGACGAACGCGAACGAGAAGATGCCGAGCGCCTGGAAGCAGCCGAGCGGGTCGCCCCCGTTGGCGAACCTGAGGGCGCCGCTCGGCGCCGAGTTCCGCAGCGCCAGCTTCGCGATGATGACGACCGTGACGACGCTCACGGACACGATCAAGAGGAACGCGCACGCCTCGAGCTTCGCGATGTCCCTCAAGAGGCACAGCGGCAGCATGAAGAGCGACGCGACGGCGATGCAGAGCTCGCGGGAGCCGGGCGCGTGGCGCTTCAGGGCGAACTCGACGACGGACTCCGACGTGTCGCCGAGGATGATGAGGTAGGACAGCGCGGCGCCGTAGTCGAAGACGAACTGGCCGAAGATGACGGCGATCTCGCCCGCGCCGCCGAGCGCGTCGCGCGCGAGGGCGTCGTAGCTCGTCGCGCGGACGCGGGCCGCCGACGCGATGAGGCACCCGATGGAGTAGTTCGTCACCCAGGCCATGGCCACGAGCAGCATCAGCCCCAGGCCGCAGCCGGCCTCCTTGAGCGCGTAGGGCAACCCGACGATGCCCGCGCCGATGATCGCGTTCGACATGTTGAGGGCGACGTTCGCGACGGACACCTTCTCCTTGCCGTCGCCGCCGCCCCCCGTCATGGTGGTTGTGTTGTCGGGCGGCGCGCGCGCACTTTCCGTCGCTCTGCCACAAGCCCTCGACAAGAAGGGTGCAAGTACGAGTTCAACATGTGACCTTGCCGTGCAGCACTGGGTGCTTATGTGGGGATAAAGAAGGGGGCGTGGCGGGGAAAGGGCCCCCTTTAGTGGAGGTCGCCCATGTGCTTGGCGAGCTCCTCCTGCCAGGTCTTCGTGTGGCCGCTGGCCTTGGCGCGCTCGATGAAGATCGCGCCGACCTACGCGCGCGAATCCGCGCGCGCTTCTTCGGGAATCCGGACGCGGGTCTCGGGACCTCGCGCAGCGCCTTGGCGCGCTCCATGCGCAGGGCCTCGGACGCGCCGTGGTCCACGGTGATCTTGCGGCACGCGGACGCGAGGACGTGCTGCACGTCGATGACGCTCACCTTCCACGCGAGCTCCATGACGGACTTCATCATGTCGGCCTTCTTGCCGTCGGCGGCCTTGACGGCGAGGGAGATGGGCGTGAGCCTACGCGGCGCGCCCGCTGCTCGTTTTCCGGGGGGGAAAAAAAGACGCGGCGCGCGCGCTGCTCGTCGCCCGCGCGGTCGACGGCGGCCTGGATCGTCAGCACCGTGCCGTAGTCCGGCGTCGGGTAGGTCTCGCCGACGGCCCACTTGACCGGCCCGTCGCCGAGTTCGCGCGTGAAGGAGCAGGCCCCGGTGCAGTAGGGCAGGTTCGCCCACGCGAGCTTGAGCGACTCCGCGCCTGCGAAGCGGAGGCGTGGCGCGGCGCGCGCGCGCGACGCGCGCGGGAGCCGCGCGCGTGAAGTAGGACACGTCGAAGATGCCGTAGGTCTCGACGATCATGACGTGGGGCGCGTCGACGATGAGCCCCGGGTCGCTCTTGTCCGCCGCGTAGGTCGGCACGGCGGCCTTGGTCTCCTCGGCCTGCTGGCCCGCCTGCGCCGCGGCCTGCTCGCTCTGCGCGGCCGAGCTCGCGGCGCCCATGGCCCGCGACATGTCGCCGAGGAGCGAGAAGCCCGTCTTCGTCTCCGCGACGGACTCGTTGAACGACATCTGGGCCTTCTCGAACTGGGACCCGACGAAGCGCTTCGCCGCGGACTCGTACGCGCCGCCGACGACCGTGAGCAGCGTCGCGCCGAAGGGCGTCTTCGACAGGTCGTCGGCGAGGGTCGTCGTCGCGGCCTTGGCCGCCTCGGCGTCGGCCCCCTCGGCCGTCCAGGGCGCGAGGAGCTCGTCGACGAGGTAGATCGCGCACTTGCACGCGCGGACCTTCTGCTTGTACTTCATCTGCATGGGGTCGAGCATCATGTCCTCCTCGCCGCTCATCTTCATCATCGACGCCATCTGGAGCTCGCCGACGAGGGGCTCGAAGCGCTCGTCGCCGAAGATCATGGAGAAGAACGCCGCGGGGTCCATCGACGGCCCGTCGACGCCGCTGAGCCCCTTCTCGTCGTACGTCTTGCGGCTCTTGGGCTCGCCGAGCACCTGGTAGGCCGCGCCGATCTTCTGGAACTCGGCGGCGGCCTCGGGGTTGTCCGGGTTCTTGTCCGGGTGGCACTTGAGCGCCTTCTTGTAGTAGGCCTTCTTGATCTGCGCGTCCGACGCGCCCGGGTCGACGCCGAGCGCCTCGTAGAGCGACGCGTCCTTGACGGAGACGTCGCCCTTGGGCGCGGCCGGCGGCGTCTCGCCCCGCGCCGCGGCCTTGCGCGCCTCGAAGGCGCGGTCCCGCTCCGCGGCGCCCTTCTCGAGGCGGTCGTGCTCGACGCGGAGGTCGTAGAAGACCCACTTGCCCTCCTCCTCGTCCCAGTCCTTGCCCTGGACCGTGGCCATGGCCGCCCAGGGCGTCTGGATCATGCCGTCGACGAAGGCCGACATGCCCGTCGCCAGGCCGATGACGGGCAGCGTCACGAGGCCCACGATGCCCGCGCCGACGCCGAGGAAGCCGCCCGCGACGCCGCCCTGCATGGCGCCGATGGCCGGGGCCGCGACGAGCGCCGCCGCGCCGCCCATGAAGCCCGCCGCCGTGTTCTGCAGGAACGTCGACGCGCCGTCCATGGCCCCGGACGACTTGGCCGTGGACATGCCCATCATGTTGAGCGCCTACGAAGCACGCGGTGGTTCCCGGGAATGAGTTCGGCGTGTCGCCGCACCATCGTCGCCTGCCGCAGGTCCTCGTTGGCCTGGGCCTCCGCGTCCTTGTCCGGCACCGGCGGCGGCGCGTCGGCGTCGGCCATCTTCGATTCGGCTGGCGTGGACCTCCCAGCCACTCCCAGGTCGGGCCGGGGCAGCGAGAGGCGATGCATGGATTCGTAAATTCAACTTGGTCAACGATGCACTTTTACGGCCGCCGCGCCGCGAGCTGCCGATGCTGTGATTGGTATTCGCGATGGGCCAGAGCGCCTCCAGCGACACGTCGACCCCGCCGCCTCCGGCGGCGACGAAACCCGCGCCGCGCGCATGCGCGAAGCCGGCGGATCCCGCGCGCATCGCCGCGCTGCTCATCGAGTTCCTGCCCGCGCCGCGCGACGACGACGACGACGACGACGGCGCGGAGACCGAAGATTACGCCAGCGACGACGACGACTCGCTCGACGACATCGTCGAGCGAGTCGACGACCGGAGCGCCAAGCGCCAGAAGCGCCCGGCGACGCGGTCCCGGGGGACCGCGCCGGAGCGCAAGCCGGCCGAGTGCGTCGCGGCGCTCGCGGCGGCCTCGAAGGCGACGCGCGCGATGATCGGGCCCGGCGTGGTCGCCTGGGGCGTCGCGCGGCTCGAGGCGTCGCTCGGCGCCTTCGAGACGGGCTACGCGGACGTCGGCGGCGAGCGCGTGCACCGCGGGCCGGCGATCGAGTTCGCGGCGCGCGCGCTCGCGAGCGCGTCGTCGCTCCGCGCGCCGACGCTGGCCAAGGGCGCCGGCCTCGCGCGCGCCGTCGCCGCGGCCGTCGGCGACGGCACCTGCGGGCCGTGCCAGCTCCGCGCGTGCCGCCTCGCCGCGGAGCTCTTCCGCGAGGGCGACATCATGCCGCGGCTCTGGAACGTCGCGCGCCCGGGCGCGCCGTCGCCGCGGCCGCGGACGGACGCGGCCGAGGCCGCGGACGCGCTCGCCTACGAGCTCGGCGGGCTCCTGGCGGCGGAGGCGCGCGGCGACGCGCTCAATGCTCCCTGGGCGGCGCTCTGGCGCCAGCTCAGCGCCGCCTTCCTCTGCGACCGCGACGACGGCGAGCCCGTGCACCACGACTGCTACCCCTGGTACCACCTCGACTGCCCGCACAACGTCGCCGCCGCGGAGGACCTCGCCGCGGGCCTCATCGCGACCTGCGTCGCGGTCGCGTCGGCGACGGCGCCGCGCCTCGGGACCTTCGAGCACGCGTACGCGCCGCGGCGGCGGTTCGTCACCTGGCTCGAGCAGCTGCCGACGGTGACGCACAGCATCGTCGCCATGCCGCCCTACGGCGACAAGTCCGTGGAGGAGCTCCGCCACGAGGACTACCTCATCCAAAGGCGCGCCGACCTCGCGCGCCGCGCGCGGACGGACCCGACCGACCCGACGGTCGCGACGCGGCTCGGGGCCGTCGAGCTCGAGCTGACGAAGGCGACGCAGGCCATGACGGCGCGCATGCCGCCGCCCTGGGCGCCGCTGCCGGAGGACCGCGCGTACGGCCTCGGCGCGGGCGACCGCGTCGACGGCGTGCTCGCGCCGCTCGTGCGCTTCCTCGACGTGGGCCTGAGCTTGAGAGAGGACGTGCCGGGGGCCTGGCCCGCCCACACCTTCGCGGCGGCGGCCCTCGCGCTCGTCGAGCGCGCCTACGCGTGCGAGGCCGCCAAGGACGTGATCCAGGAGGAGGACGTGATCTGGGACGTCGCGCGGCTCCTCGGCGACGACGGCGTCCCCGACGACGCGTGCCCGGCGCGCGCGTCCGCGCGGGCCTACGCGCGCGACGCGCTGCGGCTCCACGCCGAGGCCGGCCGCGGCTTCGCCATGCACGCGACCCTGGCCCTGCGCCAGGCGGGCGCCGTCGCCGTCGACGCCGACGGCGTCGACGGCGTCGTCCTCCGCGACGCCGGCCGCGACGCCGCGACCATGGAGCGCGACCGGGAGCGCGACGGCGCGATCACCGCGGCGATCATGAGGGCATCGCTCGACGTGCCCGGCAGCCTGGGCCTGATCGACGCCTACGACGACGCCTACGGCGGCGGCGGCGACTGGGCCGCGCGCGCGGCGCGCTGCGCGACGGAGCTCACCGAGGCCCTCCAGGCGGCGGACGCCGACCCGACGGAGCTCCTGCGCTGCGGCGCGTTCGAGGCGCTCGCGCGCGTCGCGTGCCACGCGGCCACGCCGACGGTCGTCGTCGCCGAGGCCGGCGCGTGCCTCGCGTGTTTCGTCGCGGAGTCGCGCGAGGACGCCGCGCGGACCTGGGCGCGCGCCAAGGGCTGGCGCTTCCTCGTGCGCGCCGTGCGCCGCGTGCGCCGGGCGACGGAGGCGAAGCGCTGGGGCGACGCCGTCGCGCCGGAGGACGACGACCGCCTCAAGCTCTTCGCGATCCTGTCCGTCGTCGCCGCCTGCGCCGCCGCGCGGCCCCCGGAGGCGGACGCGGACGACGGGGACGACGGCGCCCGCGACGCCTGCGCCCGCGAACGGTGCGTCGACGAGCACGAGTACGCGGACGTCTGCGCCGCGCTCCTCGAGGCGACGCGGCCCGGCGGCGCGTGCGCCGAGGGCCCGCCGCTGTCCGCGGCGCTCGCCGTCGTCCTCGAGTGCAGCCTCGTCGCCCCGGGCCGGCCCGTCGTCGCGCTCGACGCCGGCGCCGCGGGCCCGGCGCTCGCGGCGCTCCTCGGCAACGGCTTCCCCTTCGAGCCGCCGCCGACGTGCCGGCTCGGCCCGGAGACGCTCGCGCGCCTCGGCGCGAAGCGCTCGGACCTCGCGACCGTCGGCGCCGCCGCGGCGGCCGTCTTCTGCGGCCAGGCCTTCGACCCGGCGTGCGCGGCGCGCGAGCCCTTCTGCCAGGCCGCGCCGTCGATCCGCGAGGGCACGGCCCTCGTCGACGACGGCCTCGAGTGGCTCGAGCGCGCGGGCGGCGCCGTCGCCGCGCTCTTCTCGGCGCTCCGCTGGCAGGCGCCGGGCGCGCCCTTCGCGGGGCTGCTGCTCACGGCCCTCTGCGAGCACGACGCGCCCGACGACGACTACACCTTCGAGGGCGACGACGTGCCGCCGAGCTTCGCCGTGAGCCGCGCGCTCTTCGCCAAGGAGTTCGAGCGCGCCCGCGACGAGTGCGCCTGCTCGGGGCCCCGGCCGAACCCGAACCACATCCTCCGGACCGTCGCGCGGACGCGCGGCCCCATCGACGCGCTCCGCGACGTCGAGCGCAAGGGCGGCTTCGTCGCCGCGCGCATCCTGCAACGAAAGCTCACGGGCCACAATCCCACCGTCGACAAAGAGGAGCTCCGGGAGCGCGAGGCCCAGGCGGAAAGCGCCGAGGCGGAGCTGCTCGCGCTGCTGGACGACGAGGAGGGCGCGCGAGCGAGGACCGCCGCGGCCAAGAAGAAGAAGAAGAAGAAGAAGAAGGGGGCGGCGGCGGATCAGGCCGAGGTCGGGGAGGTGGAGGGAAAGGACACCACCGGGGGTGCGCGCGACGAGTCCACCGGCGCGGAGCCGCCGCCGCGGCGCGAGGCCGCGCGCGAACCGAGGCCGCCGCCCCAGGGAGCCGGGGCTTCGGACGACGACGACGACGACGACGATTTGCTCCTCCTGGCGCGCCAACCGACCGGCCGACCGGTTCCCAAGCCCGCGCCGAAGCCGGCCGCGCCCCAAAAGCCCGCGCAAAAGCCGAAGCCGAAGCCGACGCCGGCCGCGCCCAAGGCCGCGCCGAAGCCGAAGCCGACGCCGGCCGCGCCCGCGGGCGACGCGGAGCTCGCGCTGTTGCTGTCGCGCGAGGAATACCTCGCGTCCGAGGAATACGCCGCGTCCACGCCGCCGCCGCCGAGGCCCGCCGCGCCCGCGCCGCCGCCGCCGCCGCCCGCGCCGCCGGCCGCGCCGCCGGCGCCGCCGCCCCGGAGGGAGACGACGAGGCCGCCGAGGCCCGCCGCGCGCGCGGCCGCGCCGCCGCCGCCGCCGACGACGGTCTCCGGCGTGCTCGCGCGCGTCGGCCTCGGCCACCTCGAGGCCGTCTTCGAGGCCGAGGAGGTCGACTTCGAGGCCCTGGGCCTGCTGCGGCCCGACGACTTTGCGTCGCTCGGCATCGCGCCCGCGGACGCCAACGCGATCGTCTCGGCCCTCGCGGCGCCCGTCGAGGCGCGCTTCGCGCCGGCGCGGCGCGGCCGCCTCTCGGGCACGGTGCTCTGGTTCAACAAGAGCCACGGCTTCGTCCAGCCCGACGGCGGCGGCGCGGACGTCTTCGTCCACTTGAGCGACGTTTGTGGGGTTTTGAAGGCCGGCGACCGCGTGCTCTACGACGTGACTCGCTTCAAGGGCCGCGACAAGTGCGTCGACGTCGTCAAGGCCGGCGCCGGCGCCGCGCCCGCGCCCGCGCCCGCGGCCGCGCCGCCGCCGCCGCCCCTCCGCTGCGACTCGCTCCCCGACGAGTTCACGTGCCCGATCAGCTTCGAGCTCATGGAGGACCCCGTCATCGCCGCGGACGGCCACACGTACGAGCGCCGCGCGATCGCCGCGTGGTTCGAGCGGCGGCGCACGTCGCCGATCACGAACGAGGCCCTGCCGAACCTCGACCTCGTCCCGGCCCACGCGATCCGCTCGATGATCGCGCGCTACCGCGCGACGGCGTCGTAAATTTTCTCTTAAGTGCCCAGGCCTAAGATAGACGTGGCGCATGAAGGCAGAACCAGCGGTACTTACGTTCCTACGTGCTCGATCTCACGTTCCGCCGGTGGATCACTTGGTGGATCCTGGAATCCTTTAAAGTCGAAGACGCCGCACGTCGCGCCGCACGAAGCGAACCCATCATCAACGACCGGAGCGTCGTCGCCGGCGATAAGCGCGACGTCTGATTCCTCGATGGGCGATTCGCAGTGGATGCGCTGCTGCAAGCGAGACTCAGCGGGCAAGACGGCTTTCGAAGGTTCGTCGATCACGACGACCGTCGGTGGAGCGAGCGTCGTCGGAAGGCCCAACCGGTCCATATATCGCACGATCACGCTTCTCCGAGGCGCCTGCGGGATGTGGCTCTCGACCCACGACGAACCTACGAGCTCCCATAAATCCAGGTCGTCCCCAAAAGACGAAAACTCACCCGCTCGGTCCCGTTCGAGCATGGCGTTGAGCTCAAAGTGCGAGTCGTGCGCGATCATGTGGGCGATGACCTTCAGAATCAGCAGCAGCGGCGCGATGACGCCAAACAGCACGAGCAACCGGCGGTACGTCTCGCGCGTCTCTCCCGTCTCCTCGGACATGTCCGCGTACCGACCGACGGCCACGATGTACACGAGGACGATGATCTGCGTCGAGCAGCGCGCGAGCCAGTCGTCCTCGGGGTCGACGTAGGGGCCCTGCGAAGCCACGAGCGCGGCGTAGCAAAAGCTCAGCGTGCAGCCGACGACCGCCTGGATGGAGTCGCCGCGCGCGAAGACGGCGATCGCCGCGGAGAGCACGAGCCGTCGGATGCCGTCGACGGTGTCCCAGTACCAGTACTCCGGCTCGAACTCCCGGTAGAGGAGCTGGTAGGGCTCGATGTCGGAGAACTCGTCGCGGAGCTGCTGCTGCTTGTGGAGCAGCGCGTCCTCGAGCTTCGACAGCAGCTCTCGACTCGGCAGGCCCTCGCTCACGGCGATCTCGCGCTCGACGAACTTGGTCAGTCCCTCGACGCGGGCCTCGGGCGTCGCGTAGCGCCACCTCGCCGAATCCCGTCGCGTTGCTGAAGACGGGCGCCGAGAGCGTGCCGTACGCGCACGAGTCGACGACGTACGTCGACGTGAACGCGTCGACGCCCGAGGCCACCTGGCCGCCGCCTACGGCGTAGCGCTCGCCCGCGAAGCCCTGGTTCGGCCAGGCCCCGTCGGCGTCCGCGGGCACGGAAAAGTCGTAGAGCAGCGACGGGTCGAGCGAGAGCGCGGCGTCGACGCCCGAGCGCGTCGCCGCGTCGCCGGCCGCGAGCGCCTCGACGTCGTCCGGCGACAGCGCGCGGTCCCAGAAAGCCACCTCGTCGATCTGGCCGCGGAAGCGGTCGTCGTTGAGGAAGAACAACTGGCCCGAGTCGTCGTCCCCCCAGGACCACTCGCCGTACATGCCGAGGAAGAACGTCGAGGAAGCCTCCGGCGAGAAGTCGACGGACATGTCGGGGTCTGTGTTCGAGTAGTTCTGCAGCATCACGCCGTCGACGAAGAGGAGCACGACGTTGTTGACCTGGTCGAAGCTCACCGTGTAGCGATGCCAGTCCGAGACGTTGACCCAATCCGTCGGGCCCCAGTCGAAGTCTAAAGTTCCGATGTACGTCTGCCCGAGCGACGCGCCGCTGTTATCCCCCCAGAGCGCGATGTCAAAGTAGGGATTCGCTGTGCGCATGAGCTTGATCCTGTATGTCGAAACGGGCAGGTAGACGCGCACGGACGTGGACAGCGTCGCGCTGCCGCGGGGCAGCAGGTCGCCGTCCTCCGCGGCGAAGGTCGACCGCAGCCCGATGACGTCCTCGCGGCGCTGGTGCGTCACGAAGGCTGCGCAGACGCTCAGGAGCGACGCCCACTTCACCATCCTCCCTTACCCACGCGAGGAGCCCATATCATAAGTTCTCGGCCAAGGCGGCACTGTGCACGGCAACATCCAGCGCTGCCGTCCTCGAGGTCGAACCGCCCGCCGCTGTGGGCATGGTCCTGCCGCAGAAGATGGGCTGCTTCGCCGTGAGCATTGGCTGTGCGTGGCTTCTGGGCTTCCTGGGCATCGTGAGCTACCACGAGCGCGGCATGCTGTTGGAGATGGAGCACCGGGCCGTCGTCGCCGCGGAAGGCGCGATGATGCACCACTTCGCGTCGCACCACAAGCACCGCCACGAGCCGCCGGCGCCGCCAAGGCGGACGAAGCTCTTGCGACCGGCGGCGCCGGACCCGAACGCGACGGCGCGCGCGGCGGCCGCGTGGGCCGCGGCGGCGTACGGCGCCGCGGGCGTCGTCGCCGCGCAGCAGGCCGCGCACGCGGCGCACTGCACGCCGGCGACGTCCGGGAGACGGCTCGAACTCGTGGGCCCGCCGCGGAACGCGCGGTGCGGGCTGAGCGTGGCGACGAAGTGCCAGCCGGCGATCGCCGTCGCGCCGGCCCAGGGATCCGCGTGCGCGGACTGCGAGGTCGCCGTCGTGCTGCGCGATCCCCACGATCGCCTCGCGTCGGCGCTGTCCTGGACCTTCAAGGGCGTCGACGGCCGGAGCGACGACATGCTCATGGACGACACCGAGGGCGTCGAGAACCCGCGCTGCTTCTCCTACGTCGGCTCCGCGCAGCTCGCGAGCGACGCCCTGGATGATCGCGAGGGGTTTTATGAAAATTGCCGCGCCTTTGACTCGGACATCCAGCCGTTCCGCGTCGGCGAGCCGCCGAGCGACCCGCTCTTCTCGCGGCAGATCGACTACGTGGGCACCGCGACGAAATTCCTCTGCTTCGAGAATTTGGATGCTGATTTCGAGACCGTCGTCCGGCCGTACTGCGCGACGGACGCCGCGCGGGAGCGGCGCTGCCAGCTCGACAGCTCCCTGGCCAAGCGCATCGACGGCTTCGCGGAGGCGTTCGCGCACGGCGAGAAGCTCAAGTACGGCAAGCCCCAGGTCGGCCGCGTCTGGTGCCGGCGCGCGCGGCGCCACACGCAGCAGTTCACGAACGAGAGTAGGGTGGCGATCGAAAACTACGTCCGCGACGTCTACGCGGAGGACTTGAAGCTCTACGAGAAGCACTGCGGGGGTGTGGCGAGGCATCCGTTCTGGGCGCCGGACCCGCCGCACCCGCAGATGCCGCCCATGCCCGAGCCGCCCCACATCGAGACGGCCTACGAGCGCAAGCAGCGGAAACTCTCCGGCCACCACTGGTGGAACGTGGCGTTGTCGTTGAAGAAGATGTTCTTTTGAGAGTAGGGGTCGTTAGGGTGCGAGAGGCACCCTTACCTCGCAGCCCTTAGTGCTCCTCGTAGCACAGCGCAAGTTGGCTCGACACGCGCTTGAATGTGCAAGGAGCAAGCACGGTCGCCAAGTTGCAGCATTCACGATGGGCCGCCTGTGGCTCTGCGCGGCTGCTCTACTTCCGCTGGCGCTCGGCGAAGAAGTGCTCACGATGACGAGCTACGACGCCGAGATCTACTCCGGGCAGACGGCAGCGCTGACGGTGAGCTATTCGTTCACGGAGGCGTCGCAGATCAAATGTTTGATCAAGAGCTCGAGCGGCGGCACGGCGAGCGCAGCGGTGACTTCCGAGCCCACGGTCACCGGGAGCCTGTCGCTGGAGGTGGCCGTGTCGTCGCTGGACGGCGTCTCCTGCGACTACTACTGGCGGTGCTATTCGTTCTACGAGACGGCCTCGAACACCTGGAGCGAGCGGACGACGCTCGTGGACCAGGACGCCGGCGCGGTGTGCAGCGCGACGCCCGCGCCGACGGCCGTGCCGACGGGAAGTCCGCAGCCGACGACCTCTGCGCCGATCCCGCAGCCGACGTCGAGCTTCGCGCCGACGGCCGCGCCGATCCCGGTGCCGACGGCCTGCGGCCCGCGCGAAGCCGCGGACGCGCCCGAGTTCCCCGCGGAGGACGCGTCGATCACGACGACGGCGTCGCGCGTCGTCACGCGCGCGACGAACTCGGAACTCGTGGACCTCGGCCATCCGGGCGCGTTTGTGAGCGGTTCCAACGACCGCCACGACTGCCCGGATCGCGCGGGAGGGCTGTTAGCGTGGCACGATCCCGCGACCTGGGCCGACGGCGTGGTGCCCGCCGTCGGCGCCGACGTCGTGGTTTCCGGCGACGTCTTGATCTCGTCCTGCTCGCTCTCCGAGGGGACGTACGGCGTCGTGACCGTGAGCAAGGGGAGGAGTTTTTTGAGCGTTTTTTTTCAGGCGGCGTTTTTGTAGGTGAGCGACGGGTCGTCGCTGGTCTTCGCGGACGAGCCCATCGAGCTGCACGTCGAGGGCATCGTCGTCGAGGGCGAGCTCGTGATCGGGTCGCCGAGCTGCCGCACGATGTCGCCCGTCTCGATCACGTTGCACGGCGCGCGGCCGGACGACACCATGGTCGCGCAGGATCCGTCGATCAAGGGCATCGACGTGAAGAACGGCACGTTGGAGCTCCACGGCGGGCTGTACGTGCAGACGTGGTCGCGGCTCGCGGTGACCGCCGCCGCCGGAGACTCGTCGATTCTGATCCAGGACGCCGTGAACTGGGCCGTCGGCGACGAGATCTTCGTCGCGGGCACGACGCTCCGCGACGATCGCGCGTGGCACCAGAACGAGAGGTTCACCGTCGCGGATGTCCGTGCCGCGTCGCATCTGGGCGACGACGTCGTCTTCGTGGAGCTCTCCGGGGCCCTGCTCTTCGACCACTACGGCGGCGACGAGTACCAGGCCGAGGTCGGGCTGCTCTCGCGGCGGATCGTCGTCCAAGGCGCCGCGGAGGACTCCGAGCCCACGGACGCGGAAACAGTCGCGTGCCCCGACGTCTTTTGGTACGAACACGCCCTTGATGCCGAACCAGCCCGCGTAGGCGTGCTACGAGTCCAACGGCTACGGCTCCTACCCCTGCGAGGACTCGTACCTGACGGGCTTCGGCGGCCACGTCATGCTCCGCGGCGCGGACGCCGTGGGCCACATCTCGGGCGTCGAGTTCTACCGCATGGGCCAGACGAACTTTGAAGGTCTTGTTACCAGCGTCGTTGTTGTTTCTTGCGCTCGGGCCGTTCGCGTTGCGCGAGGACCTGGAGATTTTGAGGAGGTTATGAAGGAGGGCGAGCCATTCGAGTTGCGCGAGGACCTGGACGAGTACTTCCCCGTGATCTCGCACAGGCCGCTACGCGCTGCACTGGCACTTGCTCGGAGACCGCGGCGAGGGCTCCTACGTGACGGACTCGTCGTTCCACCGGAGCTTCTGGCGCTGCGTGACCATCCACGGCACGAACAAGGTGCGCGTCGAGCGCAACGTCGCGTTCGACATCGTCGGCCACTGCTTGTACCTCGAGGACGGCGTCGAGGAGGAGAACGTCATCTCCTTCAACCTCTTCGCGCACATCCACGTGATGGGCAAGCCGCCCGGCGACAGCGGCACGGCGCAGTGGCTCGACAACATCTACGACAGCGCATCGTTGCGGGAGCCGTCGGACTCGACGGCGTCGGCGTTTTACATCTCGCGCGGCGCGGCGTCTTTGCGTGCGGGACGAACCCCATTCACTCACAAGGATCTCTCGCCCGCCGCGCCGAGCGTGCATCCCTTCGCAGGAACGGCTGGAACACGGTCACGGGCAACGCGGCCACGGGCGGCTTCTCCGGCTTTCACTACCCGATTCTGCCGTCTCCCGTCGGCGCGCACCGCGACGTCGACACCCATCCCAGGGCGTCGCGGATCCTTCTCTTCGACGGCAACTCCTGCCACTCCACGGGCTGGTGGTGGAGCCACGCGGGCTGCGTCTACGCGGGCGGCGTCCTCGAGTACGTCGCGGACTCCGACGACGACGCGGCTCATCCCGAGGGCTGGGCCGACGGCTTGGTCTACAACCCGGGCCGCGAGCAGCAGGGGTTGAGGACCTGCGAGATCGACACGGACTCGTGCCCGGCGTCGCCCGAGGACGAGTGCACGGGCGAGTACCCCGTACTCTCGCGGCGGCGTCCCCAAACCTGGCTTTTCGTCGATGCTTGTGTTCTAGGTCGGCTGCGACGCCTTCATGGAGTTCACGAACCTCAAGGCGGCGCTCTCGAACGTCGGGCTCATGCACTGGGGCGAGCGGTCGCGGACGTCCAAGTTCGAGGCCCACGACTTGATCGGCGGGCCCGCCGCCGAGGTCTTCGGGGAAGCCGAGGTCTCCGAGGCCCTCGTGACGTGCCGGACGAGCAACGTGCAAACCATGCCCTGCGAGACGGCCCACTATTCTGGGGGGGTGTTGGTGGCGGCGGACGATGGCGCCTACGAGTGCCAGTGGTTCGACAAGCGGTTCTTCCGCTCGAGCATGAACGTCGTGAAGTGGTCTGTGTGTGCTGTGTCTTTTTGTGGGAGGGTGGTCGGATGACCGGGACGAGGTCCTTCATCTGATGAGAATTTAGATGAGTTTTTAAGGAGACGCACTCAGGTACGACACGGCCGTCAACACGGTGTTCTGGAACGCGACGATCCGCGGCTGCGACCCCACCGCCTGGAGCGACTGCGAAGACGAGTGCTTGGACTCGATCATCTACCAGTGCACGGCGCACTCGGACCTGCATTTGCCGGAGTGGATGAGCATCACCGGAGCTATCGTCTACGACCAGGACTACTCGTCGAACCTCGTCGGCTACAACAAGGTCGAGCCGATTTCCATCTCTGGACGGATGCAATCTTGGCTCGACGTCGACGGATCCGCGTGCCAGAAGGCCTGGGGCACGACGATCCTCGGCTCCAACGTCGACGCGGGCGATTGGCGCGCGGCCCGCGTCGCGATTCGCGCGCCGCCCTCCCGCGCCGCCCCCTGTCCTTCCGCGCCGCGGCGCACGCGCCCACGCGCCGCTCTCCTCTTCCGCGACGCCGAACCTTCGCAGGTGGAAGATCGACGACGCGTGCGAGCTCGTCGCGGGCGGATTGTTCTACTGCTGCCCCGCGGAAGACCGCTTGTTGACGTCGATGGTGCTCGGCGGCGTCCCGCGCTTCGCCGGGAAACGTCGCCATCGTTGCGCCTCCGTAGGTGTTCGAATGGGACGACGATTTGTCGGCGGAGATTGGCTCGACGATCTGCGATAACAGCTACGGCGACGGTCCTGATCCTTGCGAACGCGTCGGATGGCTCGCACACTTTGGAGCTGCGAACGTCACGGCCGAGGGCGTGAAGCTCATGCCCAACGCGGAAGTCGTCGGGACCTCCGGTGGCTTCGGCTGGTACCTTTACCTGGACCAGGGCGCGCCCAAGACGCTGCGGATCTCCCAGATCCAGGTCCTCGAGACGACGTCTCTGTTGCTCGCCGTCTCGTATCCCGTCGGCACGTCGTTCCACATCTACATGGAGGGACCCACGTGGTGCAGCTCCAGCTACCTTTGCTTGCAGAATTACACGCACGTGGAGTCTGTCGATGAGGTGCGCAGCGGCGATGGGACGACGTACCACTTCGCAGACGACGGCACTTTGTACCTTCGCGTCGTGCAGCGCGGCTCGAACCGACTCTCGGAGACGACGTCCTGGACGGACGACTACGAGGTCTCGCTGATGACTTCCGACCTCGCCGGCGACTGGGGCATCCCAAGGCGCTCGAGCTATCCGCACATCGTGGTGAAGGCAGATTGTGCAGCGTCGGACGACTCTGCGTACTACTGCACGGGCGGCGGAGAGCCGAACGTGCCCCAGCCGTGTGCGGCGGACGAGATGCAGACTTCCGTTTCTGAGTGTGTCGTGGCGGTGGCTCCTTCACCCACGACGGCGCCGACGACTCCTGTCGAAGATTCTCCGAGCGAGCCCACAAAGGCGCCGACGACGCCTGTGGTGCAGACGGGCTCCGAAGCTCCGACCGCGACCGCCACCGCGCCGCCCTCGGCGAGTGCGACGGCGTCTCCTTCGTCAAGCGTCGTGACGCTGGCTCTTGCTGATTACGATGCCGCTGTTTGGCCTTCTGGAAGCGCCTCTTTGACGCTCGATTTCGTGATTACTCAAGTGCAGGCGGTAACGTGCAGCCTTCGTGACTCAACGAATACGATCATCTCCAGCGTCGAAGTCGAATCAGGGCTCGTTGGAACTGGCTCTGTGTCTGTGTCGGTGACTCTGGGCGAGACTCTGGCTATCGAGTGCGGTCTGCGCTGGTTCTGCTGGACGAAGCCAGACGTCGACGGCTCCGGTTGGGCAGACAACACGGCTCAGTTGACCGTGAACCCTGGAGACATTTGTGCTGTCGCTGCGCCTTCTTTGATGCCTTCTGCTGTTGACGCTCCTACGGACGGACCTTCTCTTGCTCCAGCAGCAGAGCCATCTAGTGGTGTTGTGGTCTTCGAACCGACTCGTGCTCCGGAGCGGCCTTCTCCAGCTCCAGTTGTGCCGACCTCTGCGCCTTCAAATGCACCAGAAGCAGCGCCGTCTCCAGCACCTGTTGCTGCACCGACGTGGACGTTCGCCGGACCGACATTGGCGCCTGTCCAAGCGCCGACGCCTTCTCCGTCTGTTTCGAGTGCCGCCGCCTCTGCGGAATCGAAAGGCAGCGAGGACTCCGCTGACTTTGCTACTACCATCGTGATTGCCGTCGGCGCTATTGCTGTTCTTTGTCTTGGAGCTGCCGCTGCTCTGGTCTTCAGAAGAAAATCAGCTGCTGCGCCAAAGCAGGACACGAGGCGAGCGTGTGAAGTGAAGGACTTCCTCGCCGTGAACCCGATGAGCCCGAAGGATACGCGTGTGTAAGCTGAAATAGGGAGCCCGTAAGCCGCGGCGGCGGCGCGCCTTTACGAGTCTTTTGTTACTTGCGAGGTAAAAAACGACGGCACATGCGGTTCACGCTAAATAAATGGTGCACCTTGAACATCAAGAGGCTCCGGGAATGGCATGGCCAGCATAGCTGCTCCATAACGCCATGGGCGCCAGCGCGAGCGTCGACCAGGTGCAGATCATCTGCAGCAACGTGGAGCGGGCCGTGCCGCGCACGCCGCGAGGCAGCCGCGACGTCGAGCATTGCGATCGAGATGGACTCACGGACGTGATCTCCCGCGCGGAGCAGGACGTCAAAGCGTTCTACGATGCGGCGTGGGAAAGCTGCGCGGCGGACGATCTGCTCGTGGCGACCGCGGCGCTTCAGGCCGACTTTTCGCCCGAGGAGCCGCCGCGGTGCGCGCTCCGCGAGGGGGCGACCGTCGACGAGCTCGAGGAGCTGGCCAGCGTGCGCGCCGAGGCGATGCACGCGGCGCTCGAGCAGCCCGTCAAGGAGTCCGGCGGCGCCTACTACCAGGGCCCGCGCAAGGGCACGCTGCGCATCAAGGAGAAGGCCGAGCACGACTACGGCGGCGACGTCGCGCGAGTCGTCGACGTCGAGCGCGCGACCGGCGTCTACGGCACGGCGAACGACTTCAACGCGGCGATCTCGAAGCTACGCGCGGCGGCGCGCGGCGAGGAGCTGAGAATCCTGCGGTGCAAGAACAATCTGAGCGGTGGGACGTCGGGCTACCGCGACGTCAAGCTCAACGTGGATGTGGACGGCTTCGTCGGCGAGCT